AAAAGGGACATGTTAAAAGTGAATGTCCTACACTTGAAAAGAAGAATAAATATTTCAAGAGAAATAAAGATAAGAAGTCAAAGAAAGCATATATAGCATGGGAAAGTTCATCTTCTGATTCCGAAAACAATCAACGTGTTAATCTTACATTGATAGCCTCACACCATTCCGATAGTGAAGATGACGAGGTTAGTAATGAATTTTCCCTTTCTAATAGTGATGCAAGGTATTATAGATGAACTATTAAATGAATGCAAAATTCTGTACAAAACTATTTCATCTCAAAAGAAACAAATTTCATCTTTAGAAGAAAAATGTGAGTCTATGGAAAAAGATCTCAAAGATGAAAAACAAAAATTTAGTGAGCAAAAACAGAATTTTGTATGCAAAAATTGCGAATCACTCTCTTTCCAAATTGTCCAATTAAAAAGAGTTATTGAAAGATATAAAAAAGGTCAAACTGGATTGGAAGGTGTTCTTAGCCAACAAAGATATTTCAATGATAAAAGTGGACTTAGATATTCAAAGTTTTCAAAACCAAGTTCTAATAAAACTATCTTTGTTAAAGCTAGTGATCAATCATCCAAAGAGAAAGTGAACAAACCTAAAGTAGTTCATAAATATCCTAAAAATAAAAGATTTGTTAAGAAGAAATCTTACCCTTCTAGACATAGAAGTAACCTTGAACCTACTTGTTTTTATTGTGGTATTGTTGGCCATACACCTAATGCTTGCTATGTTAGAAACTTTAGTGTAGCAAGTGGGCATTATGTGTGGGTTAAGAAGAGAACTAACTATGATGGACCCAAAGTACATTGGGTACCAAATCAAACTTAATTTATTTTGTAGGTATGCTTGAAGACCACTTGCAATCTTTAGTATCTTGATAGTGGTTGTTCAAAGCATATGACGGGAGACTTAAACCAACTTTCAAATCTAGTTCAAGTCCAAATATTATTTCACATATGGTAAATACCTTAAAGGAAGAATTCTTCGCATTGGCAAAATTGATACACTAACTTTCATATCCATTGAAGATGTACTTTATGTTGAAGAACAAAAGACAACTTCTAAGTAAAAGACAACTTTGTTGAAAAGGCTTCAAATTCATCAAGGATGAATGGTTTATGAAGTCACTCTTGAGGTGAAACTCATTGGTATAAATTGTTTTTACTTTCAATAATTTCTTTATGTATTATAAGGCTTTTCCCATCCTTTTTAAATGACAAAGGGGGAGAAGAAATATATATGTATGTGTATGCTTGTCTCTAACTATTGCAGCCCAAAGAAAGATGAAAATTCTCTATGACTCAAGGGAGAATTTTGATCAAGAGGAGTTATCAAAGATATGGGGAGCATTCACATAAGAGTTTCTCATTCTACCTAAAAGAGTCAAGCATCTTCAACATTATGTTTTGATGAAGATAACTACTATGTTCATTTATCAAAGGATGAGAAAAAGTATCATGAAGCAATATGGCTATGGTTAAGCTTTCAATATTATTATATGTATTTTGTCCATTTTTTTTGCATCTTTCTCTTCTTTTTGATAATGTCAAAGGGGGAGAAGGATGTGGTACTTTATGCTTGTATATTTCCTTGTCTTAAATTTTTAAGGTACTCTTCAACCAAGATGGACAAATTCAAAGGATTCCAACCTTCTCATACAAAGGGGGAGATATGCATCTTAGGGGGAGAAGCTTTTTCCGGAAATTACAACGCATCAAGCAAGATCGTTTGTCATCATCAAAAAGGGGGAGAATGTAAAAGCAAGCTTCTCAAATGTACTTTTGTTTTGATGAAGACAAACCATGATTGACAAAGAAGGCAAATATTTTTGACTCAGCTAAAAGCATCTGTGAATAAAGTCTTCAGTTCAAGCACTTAACAAAATTTCAAGGTATAATGATAATACTTACTTTGAACTTAAGACATAGATGCTCAATGGTAAAAAGAAATATTTTATATTGTCCAAACCCTTACTCAAGTTTTTCTAAGCTAAAAAACATTTTTTACTTGAGTGCAATCGATTTGCATATTAGTGCAATCGATTGCATGCTTCAATTTTTCAAATCTTTTGCTATTGTTTCTAAGTGTAATCGATTTGCATGTTTATGCAATCGATTGCACTCAATCAATTTTTTCTACTGACTTCACATGCAATCAATTTACACTCTTGTGCAATCGATTGCACACTCAAAACTTTTGAAATTCTAGCTGTTGAAACCCCGTGCAATCGATTTACATAAAAGGTGCAATCGATTGCATGTTGCACGATTTTGAAAACAGCAGCTTTGCACATGCCTGTTCATAACACCATTTCATGGAAACCTTTCACTCAATCTTGGCAATTGTTCATGATTCATTTACAGAACTTTATGATGTTTCAAAAAGGTGCTATGAACATATAAATACTCATTTTCAAAATCATTTCAACACCTCTTCAAAATATATTTTCTGAATTTTTAAAATATCAAACTCAAGCTTTTCTTCACTTTCATACACAAAGTTTTTCTACACACTTTCACATATTATCCAACATAAAACTTTGAACATTATATATCTTGAGTCATTGTATACTATTAACATTGGAAGAGAATATCAATTCATTGATAGAATCACTTAAAGTGATCATTGCTACTCAAACTCACTCAAATCAAATATTGCTATATACTTGCTTATTTTTCAGGATTGTTGAAAATAAGTTCAAGTGGTTTTATAAATCTTGTTTTTCCAGGATTGTTGGATACAAGTGAAGTCACCTTGAGAGGATTGTTCTCATTGTTGATATAGAGAAAATCCAAGAGGATTGTTCTTGGTCAAAGAGGATTGTTCTTGGTGGTTTTATTGGTTAAAGTCTTGTATAGAAGGACTAGGGTGTCTTGTCTAGAGATCTAACAATAAGGAAATCTCTTTCATGTTGAAAGGGGACTGTAGTACTCTCGGACTGTGAGGGGAACCATGATACATCTTTGTGTTCTTTACTTTTCCGCATTTACCGCTTTCATCACTAGTCATAAACCAGAAAAGAAAGGAACACATTTGTAAACTCATGCACTAAACTAGAAAAATAATATCCATCATCACTAAAATGGTAAAACTTTTAAAGTACCTAATTCACCCCCCTCTTAGGCGCACTCTTATACTTACAACTAAACATTCAAAGAACTCCAGATTCCACGCTTGACAAGGGATTCTGTAATAACAAAGCCACATGACTCTTGAATCATCCACATCAGAAGGTTTTCATGTTCGCATATCTCTGAACCATTGCCTCAACCAATCACCACTTCCCCCACCAAATACTGAATTTCACCCTCAACTCGATCCTCTAACAAGCAAAGGTTGGCTCCAAGCGGAGTAACACGAATAAAAAATAGCCTTCTGTGTTAAAAATCTCCTGCATGTTATATGGCATACTAAGGTTTTCAACGAGGCCAACAAGCGCTTTTCTGAACCTCATAAAGTCGCTTTGTTCCACTTGGAAAGTAACCATGCACCTGTTATCTAGATTTGGAAAAACTCTCTCTGATATCAGAATCTCTTCATATGGACTGCCTCCGTTAGGGCTAAGCTTCTCATTTTGAAATGGTAGATTATTTTCCCACTCATTCTTCTTATCATCAGCGTCCAATGTCCACATACCTCTAGAATTCCTCATAAGTCTCATTTGCTCCAAACTTATCCGAAAAAGAGGTGAAAAAGAAAGAGGAACGCATTCTACTTGTCTTTCTAGAGTCAAAACTTTGTCTTCCCTAATTATACCAATTGAGTCTTAAATGAGATTGATGACTATTTGTGTCTTAAAACCGTCTCCATTAATCCTTCTATTTATGAAATATGTGTTTTTTATACTTCCTTTTGAGAACTAACTTAGAGAGTATAAGTTAGAGAAAGAAGTTAATATTTTACAATTCTTGTTTGGGAAGAGTTTTAGTGACTTTGGAGTTTTGTAACTTTGATAAATTTGTACCTATATTTCATTAAATCAAATTTTCTCTTAATCTATTTTAATAACTCATCTTTTTAGTTGCCTAAAGTTACAAAGTTACTGTAACAATAAAGTTACTAAATGCTTGCCCTTCTTGTTGATGTGTCATTTTATTGGGGCAATGAATTAAATCTACTTATTAAATAAAACTTTTTTTATTGAAATCTTTAATCCCAAACCTATTGTATAAATAGAAATTGAGATTGGGTTCTTTTAAACTCAAACCGCGATAATATCAAGACACTCATGAACACATAAAAACAAAAAGGAAAGAACCTACCTGTTAATTTTTTGAAACCTATTAAGATTTTTTAATTCAACAATGTCCTAATTCAACATCGGTAATATCCCAACTCAACACCAAAGATAAGAAGATTTGAAAATAATTATCTGTTGATGAAGAATTAGTGGTAAGAGATAGAATAATAAGATAAGAAGAAAATTCAGAAATAAGATAATGGTTATCCCTTCATTCATCATGCAGTATCGGCTAAATAGAGCAAGTGGTTACAACCCAACCAAACATTGCTAATGAAACTTGACACGTCATTCTACTAGAATGCCTAATAAGACAAAATAGGTAAGCTGAAATATAAAATAGGAAAACTGAATAATAAATTCCTATGACAATAGGCTCTTCTTTACATCATCCATGTCCTCATAGATGAAAATCGAGAAACTTCTTAAGAAGATTATAATAGAATTCCCAAGTGGCTTTGTCAAGAGGCATATCTTTCCATTGAACCAAGACCTTGGTAGCTGCCATGTGACCTCGTTTTACCATTTTGCAATCCAGAATGGCCACAAGAGTCTTGTTATGAGGGTCGGCCGCAGTAGGTAAGTGCTGAACCGGTTGACCTTGAGGATTGAGGCAAAGTTTCAATTGGGATACATGAAAAACATTGTGTATTTCAGTAGAAGCAGGCAACTGTAATTTGTAAGCAGTGGCTCCCACACGATCCTCAATCCGAAATGGGCCATAAAATTTAGGAAGTAACTTGTGGACAACATGAGGATTCAAGGAATTTTTTATGTAAGGATGCAGTTTAAGGTAAACATAGTCCTCGATAGTAAATACGAATTTTTTACTGTCCTGTCATATTTTTACATAAAAAATTTTACTATACTATTCTCTTCACTCAATATTCTCATACTTGTCATATTTTCAAAAAAAAATTATTTTTATGACAAAGCATCCGTCAAATAAATAAGCGGAGCTGTTAAAGATATTTACCATCCCGCAAAAATAATGGATAGAAGTGTCATAATTTTTAGAGGGTCCGTCCATCCATTGGACGGAAGTGTTCTAACGTAAATTTTTTTCTTTTTTAAACTAACTTATTTAAATTATATATATATATATATATATATATATATATATATATATAAGTTTTAATTATATTTAAATTATAAAATTTTACTATAATTAAATAAAAATTTAATTGAGAAATGAAATAATAATTAATTTATAAGGAAATACATCTACCGTCGATTTTGACCGGGTCGTGTCAATCGTTGGTGAGTTCCACAAGAAAGAGATTGTCTGGTACATTTGCCTATTCTGCGATTTCCTTTTTCATTTTGTGGTTGAGTTGAAAGTCTTGCGTCACATCCGCCCATTAAAAATTCCTCAGCCATTTCCTCATTGGTGTAGTCTATCTCGGCTGCACTGTCATAATTTAATCTGATTCCCTCCCAATTTCAATTTGGTAGGGAATTAGTAGGCATTGGGCTATTTACTAAGGATTGGTAACAATCTTGGGAGATAAATAAATGTGGCCGGGAAATATACATTTGTTGTTGGGGTGTTTGGAAGTTGGAGTCATGTATGGTTTGTAGTGTTAATGATATTTGTGGTAGACTGTTTGATGTAGACTGGGTAAAATGTGAATATTGTTGTTGGGTGGTTCATTGAATGAGGTTAGATGAAGAATATTGTTGTTGGGTGCCCTATTGGGTGGGGTTAGATGAAGGGTTTTGTTGATGGTACCGTTGACTTGGGGTAAAAGGTGGTTGTGTTGGAAAGAAATGTTGTTGGGTGTTAAGGAAAGGTTCTTGGTTGCTCATGAATGGTTGTTGGACGTAAGTGCTTGACGATGGTCTGGTGTGTTGGACATTTGAAGATGTTGGCAGATTACAAAGGTCAAATAAGAAGTTATTTAGTGACAGATGCAAATTTATAATAGACTTATACCATTATATGTATTCCTTACTCGATTTACATTCTTCTAACATGACATCTCCTTGTAAGACTTTATCTTCACGGCTATGCCATTGATGACACTTATGTTTGTAATGATCTTTCCAATTGCTATACGTCCATTGGTCGTTCACCACACTTTGTGATACTTCTCCATGCACTTTGGAGCATCCGGTATGCCTTGCAGAATGTCAAATTGGACTTTTACCCTATCAGTATGATGCATTTCAACTGTAATAAAACAAATGATAAATATTTTTGAACTCCACACGTGACTATCAGTCGGATCGATATCTTCAAGTCCTAGATATGGCCTCCACGTAAGATGTTATAAAAAATCAGTTATTAGTTTAACGAACTATAAAATAATAGTAATTATTAGTAATCTATGGTTAAGAATATTATATCAACTTCTTTGAAATGATCAATGAAAGTCTGATAGTCAGGTACACAATGATGAGGAGTCTTTTCGTAATACATCCCATAGACAAACCATCTAAAAATAAATAATACTTACATGTTATTCGCATAATAAAAAAGTTTAAGACAAAAGAGTAGTTTCAACTTACTTGGTTGCGTACCAAAAGTGAAATGGATTATGATTCCTAGACGCTAGATTCGGCATCCTTGACCATCTCCAAGCTTGTAGTAGTGTTGAACAACCGACAAAATTATGAACTTATTTTCTAACGCATCTACACAAGTTTCGGTATAGATACGATAAAACTGCAGATCCTCAGTTGTATCTATCTATTTTATTAAAGTCAGCTAGTAATGGTAAATACATAAGATGTATTGTGTTACCATTAGTGTCAGGAAATAATATACTAGCGAGAAGCAATAAAATATAAATTCTAGTTTTCTTATGAATTTGGTTGATGGTGAAATCTTCGTTCAAATCAAATGCATCATATTTTTTCCGGAGCCAAGTCATTTTAACGAATTGGCCCTTTCTAACTCTTTCGGGAAATTCTTCACCCAATAGTTCTTGAGTTATGGAGTAGTTGACATCTGTTCTCTCATTCACTGCCGCACCATTTACACATAAACCCATCAACATTTGAACATTTTTAAGTGTGACTGTGGATTCACCGGTAGGAAGATAGAATGTGTGTGTTTTCGGTTGTCATCTTTCACATAAAGCGAGAATAAATTTTTATCAACACCATATGAGGTTATGTTGATAACGTGCCCAAAGCCCGCTAGAATCAAATATGGAAGAATCATATCTTCTACGAGCACATATGAGTGTGTACGAGCCCTTAAAATTTTCTCATTCTAAAAAAAATAGTTAATGTTAGAAGATGGTTAATGTCGAAAGTATATTCTAACAATTTGAAAAAAAATTATACGTAAATATATTCAATACACTTACATATTGGAGTATGTTTGACAATGTTCTTTGATGATCCTCTCCATAAGTTAGCAGAGGCATTATATCAAGAGTGGTGTTTATGATGAAAAAGAGTGGATGAAGATTGAGTTTGGTGTAGAATTATGGAAAATTGAATGGTATTTATAGAGAAAATACCAAGGAATTTTTTTTAATAGAAACAAGAAAATAGTTGGGAGAATTAAATTTGACATGCATAGCTTTGTACGTGGACTGTGCTGCATGCAGAGGCATGAAAGTTCCACACTCCCAATGGACGGAGCCTTTGTTATTTTTTGATACACCGAACATGAAATAGGTGGAAGTGTACCTTTTTTGTCTGTCATCCGCATATACAATGGGCGGAAGAGAGTTAATTAGTTTGTCAATGACGCAGGTACATTGGGCGGAGCCTTTACCCAAATAAATGTTCTGCCTTCCTAATGGGCGGACCCTCTTATCGTCTAGTGTATCCGCGTCTGCAATGGGCGGATGTGTTGTTTTTGTAATATTGGCCATTGATCAGTCAATATTTCTACGAAATAATATTATTATATGTATGCAAAAGACAAATTATATATCATTTAAATACATCTCTTGTTTCTACAATTTTTCATCCACTCAACACATTTCAAAATATTTGTTCACCAAGAATCATCATGTCTCAAACACCTCAATATGTAGTTGATGCTCTTTACAATGGAGAGATCCTTGTCTCTGATGATATGAGCATTATATTCGAAAATAGCGATATTTGTCGGTTCAAGTTAAGTAGAAATGCGAAGTTTGAATACTTGAGAGAGAGAATACAAACAAGGATGCAATCTGGAGCCGTCTCACAAATTATATATCGAAATGCTGTTAATTTCAATGATAACAACGTGAAATATGTTTCATTGAAAGTCTGAGACGATGATGATGTGGAAACGATGTTTTACAATCATGAATTATCTGGGTTACATGCGATAGATTTATACATAAAATTGCAACTTTGCCAATAGTCTCAAAACTCACAAGTGACCAATTCCACTGAGGTTGAGCTCGTCTCCATAATTCCCAATGAAGTCGTTGTCGAAGAAGAAGATATTGAGTCACAAGCTGATGATTTATTCACTACCTTATTCGAAGAGGGCGACCGTGACGAGGCGAATGCAATCAACGAAAATGAACAACACATTCCACTTGAGAATGTTTATTGTCCACCTACCCACATAACCACTATGGCAACAAGTGGAGACGAATCATCATTTAAATGGCCCCACAATCCTTCGCTGGAGGATGACATAGCTGTTGGGAACCAGTTCAAAAACAAATCTGACTGTGTGTTTGCGATATCCAAGTATCACATGAAACATGTCGTTGATTTCAGGGTTATATATTCTCACACGAAGAGATATCAAATTTGTTGTAAACGCAATGGTTGCAAATTTCGTCTAATGACATCTTATAGGAAAAGGAGCGACCTATGGGAGATAGAAATCATGGAGCCCCACACAAGTGTTCAACGACCATCTTTAATCACGATCATCAGCAGTTAAACTCTCGATTGATGAGTGAACGATTAATACCTCTTGTTGATAAGTATCCCTCTATCAAGATGAGTGTATGCATTAACGAAATTGTTTCTTTTTTCAAATACTCCATTTTACAAGAAAGCATGGATTGCTAGAAATAAAGCAATCGAACAAGTGTACGGTAATTGAGAAAAGTCATACAATGAACTTCCAAATTACTTGTTAGCCCTTAAGAATTTTGTTCCAGGCACAGTGGTAGAAATGCAAACACTTTCGTTATATACAGATGACGGGACTGTTGTTGCTGGGAAACAAAATATTCCACCGATTATTCTGGGCTTTCCAACCATGCATATGTGGCTTTGCATATTGCAAGCCTATACTACAAATAGATGGTACCTGGTTATATGGTAGGTACAAAGGTACACTACTAATGGCGGTAGCACAAGATGGAAACAACAATATTTTCTCAGTTGTTTTTGCCCTTGTGAAAGTTGAGACGGCGGATGGTTGGAGTTTCTTTCTAAAAAATTTGAGAATGCATGTAGCTCCTCAATCTGACTTGTGTTTGATTTCTGACCGACATGCATTTATCGAAAGCGTTTATAATAAATCCTGAAAATAGTTGGCATAACACTTCATATGTCCATGTGTATATAAAATAACAAACGCCTCGACCCATTATAGTGGCGAAGCCGTACTTAAATAATAAAATAGCGAAAACCTCCGCCTATTGTAGTGGCGGAATTGTATTTAATTATTTATGTTTATTTTTTATTTTAATTTAGACAAATTTTGTTTTATTTTAGTATTTATTTATTATTATGATTAACATTTATTTCAATTTAAACTTATTTTTAAATATTAATTTTAATATTAATTTTTATTTTAATTGTAATTTTTATTTATTTTTATATATTAAAAAAATGATATATTAACAGCTACGTCAGTCCAATAGGAGGAAGCTGTATAATTTAGAGAGCGTCCGCCAATCCAATTAACTGAGCCTCCTACTTCAATTTTTTGTTTTGTTTGAAAACATGATATATTGAGAATATGAGTTGAAATATATGGTAGTATAGAAATTTATTGGTAAAAAAGTGGTATGTTGGTAAAAAATTCACTTGTTAATTTATTCACTTGATATCCTTCATAAAATTTCGCGCAATATATCTCATACAATACACATGGACAGATGGAGTGTTATGTCAACCATTTTCACAATTGTTATAAGCGCTTTCGATAGATGCATGTCGGTCGAAAATCAAACACAAGCTAGGTTGAGAAGCTACATGCATTCTTAAGTTTTTTAGAAAGAAACCCCAACCATCCGTCGTCTCATCTTCCACAAGGGCAAAGGCAACTGCGAAAATATTGTTGTTTCCATCTTGTGCTACCGCTATTAGTAGTGTGCCTTTGTACCTACCATATAACCAGGTACCATCAATATGTAGTATAAGCTTGCAATATGCAAATCCACGTATGCATGGTTGGAAAGCCCAGAATAGTCGGCGGAAGATTTGTTTCCCAACAACAACAGTCCCGTCATCTGTATATAACGGAAGTGTTTGCATTTCTACGACTGTGCCTGGAACAAAATTCTTAAGGACTAACAAGTAATCTGGAAGTTCATTATATGACTTTTCCCAATTACTGTACACTTGTTTGATTGCTTTATTTCTAACAATCCATGCTTTCTTGTAAGAGGGAGTGTATTTGAAAAAAGAAACAATTTCATTAATACATACGCTCACCTTGATTGAGGGATCCTTATCAACAAGAGGCATTAATTGTTCACTCGTTAATCGAGAGCTTAGTTGTCGATGATCCCGATTAAAGAGGGTCGTTGAACACTTGTGTGGGACTCCATGATTTCTATCTCCCATAGGTTGCTCCTTTTCCTATAAGATGCCACTAGACGAAATTTGACACCACTGCGCTTACAACAAATTTAATATCTCTTCGTGTCAGAATATGTAACCCTAAAATCAACTACATGTTTCATATGATACTTGGATGTCGCAAACACATAGTCAGATTTTTTTTTGAACTGGTTCCCAACAACTATGTCATCCTCCAGTGGAAGACAGGGATTATGGGGTCATTCAAATGATGATTCGTCTCCACTTGTTCCCAGAGTGGTCATGTGGGCAGGTGGACAATAGACATTCTCAAGTGGAACGTGTTGTTCATTTTCGTTGACTACATCCGCCTCGTCACGGTCGCCCTCTTCGAATAAGGTAGGGAAAAATCATTAGCTTGTGACTCAGTCTCTTTTTCTTCGTCATATTCGACAACGACTTCGTTAGGAATTATGGAGACGGGCTCAGCCTCTGGAATTTGTCACTTGTTAGATTTGAGACTGTTGGCAAAGTTAAAATTTTACGTATAAATCTATCGCATGTAATCAAGATAATTCATAATTGTAAAACATCATTTCCACATCATCATCGTCTCGGACTTTCAATGGAACATATTTCACGTTGTTATCATCGAAATTAACATTATTTTGATATAAAAGTTGTGAGACAGCTCCAGATTGCATCCTTGTTTGTATCCTCTCTCAAGTATTTGAACTTCTCATTTCTTCTTAACTTGAACTGACAAAGATCGATATTTTCGAATATAATGACCATATCATCAGAGACAAGGATCTCTCCATTGTAATGAGCATCAACTACATATTGAGGTGTTTGAGACATGATGATTTCTCATGAACAAATATTTTGAAATTTGTTGAGTTGATGAAAAATTGTAGGAACAAGAGTTGCATTTAAATGATATATGTTTTGTCTTTTGCATATATATAATAACATTATTTCGTAGAAATATTGACTGGCCAATGGTCAATATTACAAAAGCAACACATTCGCCCATTGCAGACGCGGATACACTAGACGATAAAAGGGTTTGCCCAATGGAAAGGCGGAAGCATTTATTTGAGTAAAGGCTCCGTTCAATGCACCTGTGTCGTTGACATGCCAATTAACTCTCTTCCGCTCATTGTATATGCGGATGATGGGCAAAAAAGGTACACTTCCGCCCATTCCATGTGCGGTGTGTTAGAAAATAACAAAAGCTCCGCCCATTGAGGATGCGGAACCTGCATGCCTCTGCATGCAGCACAGTCCACATACAGAGTCATGCATGCCAAATTTAATTCTCCCAACCATTTTCTTGTTTCTATTAAATTTTTTTCCTTTGTATTTTCTCTATAAATACCATTCAGTTTTCCATAATTCTACACTAAACTCAATCTTCATCCACTCTTTCTCATCATAAACACCACTCTTGATATAATGTCTTTGTTAACTGATGGAGATGATCATCAAGGAACGTTGTCAAACATACTCCAAAATGTAAGTGTATTGAATATATTTACGTATAAATTTTTTTCAAATTGTTAGAATATACTTCTGACATTAACCATCTTCTAACATTAACTATTTTTTTTTTTAGAATGAGAAAAAGTTTAGGCCTCATACACACTCATATGTGCCTGTAGACGAAATAATTCGTCCATATTTGATTCAAGTGGACTTTGGCACGTTATCAACATAACCTCATATGGTGTTGATAGAAAATGTATTCTCGCTTTATGTGAAAGATGACGACCGGAAACACACACATTTCATCTTCCTACCGGTGAATCCACAATCACACTTGAAGATGTTCACATGTTGATGAATTTACGTGTAAACAGTGTGACAGTGAATAGGAGAACAAATGTCAACTACTTCATAACTCAAAAACTATTGGGTGAAGAATTGCCCGAAAGAGCTAGAAAGGGCCAATTCGTTAAAATGACTTGGCTCTAGAAAAATATGATGCATTTGATTTGAACGAAGATTCACCATCAATCAAATTCATAAGAAAACTAGAATTTATATTTTATTGCTTTTCGCTAGTTTATTATTTCCTGACACTAATGATAACACAATACATCTTATGTATTTACCATTATTAGTTGACTTTAATAAAATAGGTAGATACAATCGGGGATCTGCAGTTTAATCGCATCTATACCGAAACCTGTGTAGATGCGCTAGAAAAGAAGTTCATAATTTTGCCGGTTGTTCAACACTACTACAAGCTTGGGGATGGTCAAAGATGCCGAATCTAGCGTTTAGGAATCGTAATTCGTTTCAATTTCCGTATGCAACCAAGTAAGTTGAAACTACTCTTTTGTCTTAATCTTATTTACTATGTGAATAACATTTAAGTATTATTTATTTTTAGATGGTCTCTCTGTGGGATGGATTACGAAAAGACTCCTCATCATTGTGCACCTGACAATCAGACTTTCATCGATCATTTTGAAGAAGCTGGTGTAACATTCTTAACCATATATTACTAATAACTACTATTATTTTATAGTTCGTTAAACTAATAACTAATTTTTTATAACAGATTACGTGGAGGCCCTATCTAGGACTTGGAGATATCGATCCGACTGATAGTCACGTGTAGAGTTCAAAAAGATTTATCATTTGTTTTATTACAGTTTAAATACATCATACTGATAGGGTAAAACTCTAATTTGACATTCTGTCAGGCATACCGAATGCTCTAAAGTGTATGGAGGAGTATCACAAAAGTGTGGTGAACGATCAATGGGCATATAGGAATTGAAAAGATCATTACAAACATGAGTGTCGTCAATGGCATAACCGCGAAGATAAAGTCTTACAATGAAATGTCAGGTTAGAAAAATGTAAACCGAGTAAGAAATACATGGAATGGTATAAATCTGTTACAAATTTGTATTTGTCACCAAATAACTTCTTATTTGACCCTCGTAATCTGCCAACATCTTCAAATGTTCAACACACCAGACCATCATTAAACACTTACACCCAACAACCATTCATGAACAACCAAGAACTTTTCCTTAACACCCGACAACCTTTCTTCCCAATACAACCACCTTTTACCCCAAGCCAACGGTACCATCAACAAAACCATTCATCTAACCCCACCCAATGGGGCACCCAACAATAATATTCTTCATCTAACCCCATCCAATAGGGCACCCAACAACAATATTCACATTTTACCCTTCTACATCAAATAGTCTACCACAAACATCATTAGCACTACAAACCCCACATGACCCCAACTTCCAAATACCCCCAACAAAAAATATCTATTTCTCAGCCACAACAATTTACCTCCCAACCAACTCTTAGTAAATAACACAATGCTTACTAATCTCCTATCAAATTGGAATTGGGAGGGAACCAGATTAAGTTATGGCAGTGCAGCCAAGACAGACTATCCCAATGAAGAAATGATTGAGAAATTTTTAATGGACGGATGTGACGCGGGACTTTCAACTCAACCACAAAATGAAGAAGGAAGACCAACGTACCAGACAAGCTCCTCCGTGTGAAACTCACCAACAATTGACACGACTCGATCAAAATCGACAGTAGATATATTTTCTTATAAGTTAATTATTATTTTATTTTTCAATTAAAGTTTTGTTTAATTATAGTGGAATTATATAATTTAAATATAATTAAAACTTTTATATAATTCAAATAAGTTAATTTAAAAAATATATAAAAAAATCACGTTAGAACACTTCCGTCCATTGGATAGGCGGACCCTCTAAAAGTTACAACACTTCTGCCCATTGATTTTGCCGATGGTAAATATTTTCAATAGTTCCGCCCATTCACTTGACGGATGCTTTGTGACAAAAACAAAATTTGTTTGAAAACATGGTAGTATGGAAATATTGAGTGAAGAGGATGGTATAGTGAGATTTTTTGTGTAAAAACATGGCAGGACAGTAAAAAAATTCAACAAATACCTTATCACTTCTATGTTTATCTGCTTGCTGTATCATCAGATTCTGAGCGCGTAAGAGATTCAACTTGAGGAGATTAATGGCTTCTTCCCTCGCAATTAAATTTCTATCCACATTCAGATTTTCTACAGAATTGGGTAAATAAGGGAAATGGATAGGTGGTGGCTGGCCATACACCACCTCAAAGGGAGTGGTATGAGTGGATGAATGATAGTTTGTGTTATACCACCATTCAGTCAAAGACAACCATTTATGCCACTGATTCAGTTGCTAAGATGTCATGCATCGAAGGTAGGTTTTGAGGCATTTATTGACCACCTCTGTTTGACCACCAGTTTCGGGATGGTAGGCTGAAGGTTTTGCAATCCACTCCTTGGAGCTTGAAAAACTCTTGCCAGAAGGTACTGAGAAAAATTGGGTCTCCGTCACTAATTATTGTCTCTGGCAGGCCATGTAGCTTGAATACAGTGTCAACGAAAATTTGTGCCACATCCAAAGCCGTGTAAGGATGAGCTAATGCCATGAAATGAGCATATTTGTTAAGTCAATCGACCACCACAAATATGACTTGTTTACCTGTAGATAAAGGGAGACACTCACAAAGTCCATGCTAATGTGAGTCTAAATAAGGTTTGGTATAGGGAGTGGTTGTAAGAGACCCGAATAGGCCGCCAAATCAGATTTGTTTTTCTGACAAATGACACAGTTCTTAGCAAAATGAAGAATGTCTTTTGTCATACCTTTCCAATAGAACAATGCCTTAACTCTACTAGTAGTTACATCTCTGCCTGAATACCCACCAATAGCTGAACTATGTAACCACTGTAAGATAGTTTCCTTGATACAGGATTGTAACCAATAACTAACTTAGCCCTGCGCCTGAGTTCACCACGAATCCATGTATACTTAGGATGAGAATTTGGCTTTTGTTGCATGTTAGAAATAATTTTACTTAGTTGAGGATCTTCCTGCCAATTAAGATGAATACTCTCCAAGAGGTCACTACTTGCAGAACCTAGAACTAATGCCTATAATTCAGCACCAACTTTCTAGACAAAGCATCAGCAAATATTTAAAGTGGCCGCTGTGTGTTTTGAAAGCAATTTTGTGCTCCTATCCTTGAGCCATACGCATCCGATGGTGACCAGATCTCATATCCAGTTTAGAAAAAACAGTGGCACCGTGAAGTTCATCCATCAAGTCTTCAATTAGAGGTATGGGAAAACGATCCTTAATGGTAAGATCATTAAGCCTACGAAAATCTACAGGTCTCAAATTAAACGGGTGCGAACCTTCTTTGAATGGTCAAAGCCAGGTCTAGGAGTAGGTAAAGCAGTAGGCTCAGCAAAGATGTCAGAGTAGTCGTCGAGAAGTTAAACAAGTGACAGAGGTAAGACTTGTCCTAATTCAACATCGGTAATATCCCAACTCAACAGAAGCATACATTTGTAGTTTGTAAGTAGTGGCTCTCACACGATCCTCAATTTGAAATGGGCTCCAATCCTCATTTCAATATAACCAGTAGAGTCAGTGACTCATTTTTAGAGATTATTACATAGTGAAGCCAATAATTTATTCGCACTGTGTTCTTCAGGATTTTTCCAATATAATCAGTGATTCTTTCTCAAAGTGTGTTTTCCAACTAGAGTCAGTGATGGTTTTCTTGTGGAATATTCTCGGTGGATCCGTCCGTTGTTGTTTACTGTTCTTTTTTCTATCACGATTGTACTTTGGTTTCTCTTAAAGCATAGTTTCTCCGGTGTTTCCCCTTTAGTTTTCTCCAACAAAATCAAAGTCGTAGTTAGTCTATATAAAATTTGGTTTCCAATAGAGTTTTTCCCACCGAGTCCTATCATTTGCATACATATTATAAGCATTATAGCCAAAAATTGGGTCTTTTGAATTTAAGTATCTTCAATATTTCAGAGACGAAGATTACAATCTTCATATCTCTAAATAAAAAAAAAAACTAAATAGAGACATCTATCATATCCTAATTTTTACCCCTAAAATCCCATTTATCATACCATTGCATTTCATCAAGATCACAAATTTGGTAGCCTCCTAACCTTTGATTCTTTAGAATTTGACTTTGAGATCACCAAGCATGTACCCTAAAATTTGTCCTCTCATCTTCAAGACAAATCAATGCAAGATGTAACGCCCCGATATTTAATTAAATATTTTTTGAATATTTTTTTATTAATTCAAATTTTTATCATCGAAGTCGGAATTATTTTATTAAGTCGGAATAATAATTAATCGGGAATTAAATTAAAGTGTTATTTTATTATTAAGCTTAAATATGAATTTGGGCTTAATTGGTGGTATTGTGTAGTAATAGAAGGGTATGTCTTTTTAGACACAATTGAGTTTTTTTAAGATTAAATATAATATACCTATTATATTAGGAATAGAAATAGAAGAATATGAGAGAGTGTTGTTATCAGGAAGAGAAGAAAAAGAGGAAAATAGGGTTTGGGAGAGGAAAAGAAGAACAAGAGGAAAATTGCTTCAAGTGTCAAAATTTCCCTAAAATTCAATTGAAGTCTCTTAGAGCTGCTCTTAATCCAAGGTAAGGGTGAGGTTCTGACTCTATAATAGGGTGTATAATTAATAATATGTGAATTTGGGTTATAAAAATTATTTCTAATTGTGTTTGAAATTGGTATATTGATGAAATTGGAAGATGATTTAGGATCCAATTTAATTAGATATACATATATTTAAGTACCTTAGTATTTTCTGTGCAAAATTCCATAGCTGCTACTGTTGCGTGAAATGAAGTGATATTTAATAGGCAAGTGGCTGAATACTGTAGCAATATTGAATTGAATTAATATTTGGTAACACTTGCTTGCAATGCAGTAGCGCTAATTGAAATGATATGTAGAGATAAAAGCATTTGTATTGTTTACTGTAGCGCATATGAAGAAGTAGTATATAGAAGGAAGTACTTGCTTGTTGTAGCGATGCATATAAAGTAGTACCTAAAGGCACATGATTACTACTGTGGCAATAAATTGTGAAGTAGTATTAGAAGCATTATTTTGGCAGTACATTAGCAATACAAGAACGAGGTAGTACTTAAAGGCAATTAGCTTGCCTTATTCCAGTAGCGTAAGAAAGAAGTGGTAATTAGAAGCAAATTGATTGCATTCTGTAGCGTGTAAGATGAATTAGTACTTGAGGCATTTGTTTTGGCTCACTGTAGCGAAATTGTGAAGTAATACTTAAAGGCATATGTTGCTGTAGCGAATATATATATATATATATATATATATATATATATATATATATATATATATATATATATATATATATATATATATATATATATATATAGTACTTAGGTGATATACTCGTTGTAATGATAAGTGTAGTAGCATCTAATGGTATTGCCCTGTTACTGTAGCGATATATAAGAAGTAACATTTAATGGCATTGGCATACTGTAGCGCAAGCTGAAGTAGTATATAGGAGAATTAATTGTTTTACAATACTGTAGCGAATTTATGAAGTAATTACGTCCCGGTTTACAAATACAAAATATTTAATAATAATGATTTAATATCTTTAATAAATAATTTTCTAGGATTTATAAAGTAGAAATAATAGAATGGCCGGTAGTTAATTAACCGGTTTTAGCCAGAATAGTCCGAATAATTATGTGGTTTATTGTAGTAATTTTGGTTGATCTGTTGGGTGACATTTTTGTTGAAAAATGTGAATTTGCAGGTGATTTCATTGCCTCTATTTATGGGTAAAATATTAAGTTGCAGGCTTATGGCCAATGTTGAATTAAGTTGAATTATTGATGTTGTTGTTGATATTACGTTCATGTCGTTAATGCATACATAGCATATCATGTTGGAGCTGATGCTCGTCAAGTTGGCCTGGATTGTTAAATATAAAGTTAAAGGCTTATGCCTTGTTGATGCCTCTATTTATTGGCAGATTTCTAAGTTGGGAGTTCTGCTCTATTGGTACCACATGCATGTGCATAAAAATGAGTCGCATTTCATGTTGCATTCTGAGTTATCGTGTGGATGAATTAATTATGTTGAATGTTGATAAAAGTTGTGAAGTGGTGAATTGTATGATCTAATTCTAATATATTATTTATTGTATATCCGATTATATGGTTCGATATCTCACCCCTTCTGTTTGAATGTTGCCCTCTGTTGGTAACGTGCAGGTAATCAAGAAGGTTAGTTGTTACCCTCGTTAGTTCGAGTCGTGTTGTCGCTCTGATACGTAGCACTCGGGGGGGTGAACGCATGTTTTCTTTATTGTTGATTTTTATTATGTTGCTGAATTTTTAAGTTGTTTTTATTAAAGACTTGTTGTCCTAAAGTTGTTTTGAGTTGGATAAGATGTTATGGTGTGTTCAGTTGAATTTTGTGATTTTGTCTAAAAATTGAGTATTGTTAATCTGAATTCTAATTGTTGTTTATGTTGTAGAGATAAGTTGAGATGGCTGGAAGGAATGATGTTGCACTTGCTGCTGCTCTGCAAGCGATGGCTCAGGCTATGCAGAATCAGCCGAATATTGACGAGAATGCTGGATCTCACAGTTTGGCGACTTTCCAAAGGGAGAACCCGCCTATCTTCAAGGGTAAGTATGATCCTGAAGGAGCGTTGGATTGGCTAAAGGAGATTGAGAGAATCTTCTATGTGATGGATTTCACTCCAACGCAAAAGGTTCGTTATGGTACTCATATGCTAGCGGACGAGGCTGATGACTGGTGGTTAGAGACTTGTCAAAAATTGGAAGTTGCAGGTGAGAATGTCACTTGGGCTGTGTTCCGTAGGGAATTTCTGAGAAAGTATTTTCCTGAAGACGTTCGTGGTAAGAAGGAAATTGAGTTTCTTGAGCTGAAGCAAGGGAGTATGTCGGCTGTTGAGTATGCTGCAAAGTTTTCTGAGTTGGCTAAATTTTATCCACACTATAGTGAGGCAGATGCTGAGTTTTCGAAGTGCATCAAGTTTGAGAACGGGTTGCGCCCAAAGATCAAGAAGGAAATTAGATACCAGAAGATTCGTGTCATTGATGATTTGATTGATAATTGCAATATTTATGAAGAGAATAATAATGCTCACTATAAGATTATCAACGAGAAGAGGGGTAAGCACCAACAGAACCGTGGTAAGCCTTATGATGCCCCAGTTGGTAAATGTAAACAGAAAGTTGCTCAGAGTCAAAGGACTAGTAGGGGAGATGCTCCTGCTAGTGTGGTGTGCTTCAAATATGGAAAACCTGGTCATAAGAGTAATGTGTGTGCTGCTGAGGTGAAGAGGTATTTCTGTTGTGGTAAGACTGGACATGTTATATCTGAATGCAAGCATAAAGAGATGATTTGTTTCAACTGTGGGGAAGAAGGACGCATTGGTAGTCAGTGTCGGAAACCAAAAAAAGCGCAAACCAGTGGAAAGGTGTTTGCTTTGGCTGAGACTCCGTCATCTAGTGAGGACAGACTCATCAAAGGTACATGTTTCATTAATAGTACGCCTTTAATTACTATTATTGATACTGGTGCTACTCATTGTTTTATTGCCGCTGATTGTGTTGAAAGAATGGGTCTTATGTTGTCTTCCATGAATGGAGAAATGGTCGTCGAGATTCCGGCTAAGGGATCGGTGACTACTTCTCGTGTGTGTTTGAATTGCCCTTTGTCGATCTTCGGCAAGGACTTTGTTGTTGACTTGATTTGTTTGCCGTTAAGAGGATTAGATGTGATCTTGGGTATGAACTGGTTAGAGTATAACTATGTTTATATCAATTGCCATGACAAGTCTGTGAGGTTTTATACTTCTGAAGAGGAAGGAGTCGGTTTGTTGACTGGTAAATAGTTGCGGCAACTGATGCAAAACAAAGCGTAGATGTTCTCGTTGATGGCGTCGTTATCAATGGAGAACCAAGTTAGAATTGATGAGTTGCAGGTGGTGCACGAATTTCCTGAAGTGTTTCCGGATGAAATTCCTGGTGTACCGCCAGAAAGAGAAGTTGAATTTGTGATTGATCTTGTACCTGGTACCAGACCTGTTTCTATGGCACCGTACAAGATGTCTACATCTGATTTGTATGAATTGAAGAAGAAGTTAAAAGAGTTGCTTGAGAAAAAGTTTGTAAGACCAAGTGTGTCGCCGTGGGGAGCGCTTGTGTTATTAGTAAAGAAGAAAGATGGAAGTATGAGACTTTGTGTTGATTATAGACATCTGAATAAAGTGACGATTAAGAACAAGTACCCGCTACCGAGAATTGATGACTTGATGGATCAATTGGTGGGTGCAAGTGTGTTTTCTAAGATTTATTTGAGGTCAGGATATCACCATATTAGAGTGAAAGAAGATGATATTCAGAAGACCGCGTTCAGAACTCGGTATGGACACTACGAGTATTCGGTGATGCCTTTCGCTGTGACCAATGCACCGGGAGTATTCATGGAGTACATGAACCGTATCTTTCATACTTATTTGGATCGGTTTGTGGTGGTATTCATTGATGACATTCTGATTTACTCTAAATCGGAAGAAGAACATGAAGAGCACCTAAGAATTGTATTGCAAATTTTGAAAGAGAAAAAGTTGTATGCGAAGTTGTCCAAGTGTGAATTCTGGTTACAAGAGGTTAGTTTCCTTGGTCATGTCATTTTTGGTGGTGGAATTATCGTGGATCCTTCTAAATTCGATGTTGTGTTGCAATGGGAAGCTCCGAAGTCGGTTACCGAGATTAAAAGCTTCTTGGGATTAGCCGGTTACTATAGACGGTTTATCGAAGGTTTTTCTAAGTTGTCACTTCCATTGACTAAGCTGACTTGTAAGGGTAAGGCTTTTGTGTGGGATATTCGTTGTGAAGAAAGTTTTACCGAGTTGAAGAAGAGATTGACGTCGGTTCCAGTTTTGACTTTGCCTAATCCAGGAGAGCCTTTTGTTGTGTATTGTGATGCTTGTCTGATGGGGTTAGGTGGTGTACTCATGCAGAATAGTATGGTGGTTGCTTATGCGTCGAGGCAATTGAGGACTCATGAAAAGAATTATCCTACGCATGATTTAGAATTAGTTGCGTATGTCTTCATGTTGAAAATCTGGAGGCATTATCTTTATGGTTCTAGATTTGAAGTGTTTAGTGACCATAAGAGTTTGAAGTATCTTTTTGATCAGAAAGAGTTGAATATGAGGCAGCGAAAATGGTTAGAATTGTTGAAGGATTATGATTTCAGTTTGAATTATCATCCAGGAAAGGCTAATGTTGTGGTCGATGCTTTAAGTCGAAAGACTTTGCACGTGTTGGCAATGATGGTTAAAGAGTTGGAGTTGATTGAGCAATTTCGAGATTTGAGTTTGGTTTGTGAAGTGACACCGCGAAGTGTTATGTTGGGAATGTTAGATTAATAATGAATTTCTGGATAGTATCAGAGAAGCTCATAAGTTAGATGTGAAGTTGGTAGATTCGATGGTTGGGATTGATCAGTCTGAGAACAGTGATTTTAAGTTAGATGCACAAGGTGTGTTGAGATTTCGTAATCGGATTTGTATTCCTGATGATGCAGAGATGAAGAAAGTGATTCTTGAAGAGAGTCATAGAAGCAAGTTGAGTATTCATCCAGGAGATACAAAGATGTATCAAGATTTGAAGAATTTGTTTTGATGGCCTGGAATGAAGAGTGATGTGGCTCGATTTGTCTATGCATGTTTGACTTGTCAAAAGTCGAAAGTTGAACATCAGAAGCCTGCAGGGTTGATACAACCGTTAGAGATTCCAGAATGGAAATGGGTTAGCATTTCAATGGATTTTGTAACGGGATTACCTAGTATCCTGAGGGGACATGATTTGATTTGGGTGATTGTTGATATGATTACGAAGTCGGCACACTTTATACCTATTAACATCACATATCCGATTTTGAAGTTGGCAGAGATTTACACCAGTGTAATTGTGAAGTTGCATGGTGTTCCTTTGTGTATTGTGTCGGACAGGGATCCGAGGTTTACTTCTGATTTCTGGAAGAGTTTGCAAGAGGCGTTGGGATCTAAGTTGAGGTTGAGTTTGGCGTATCATCCTCAGACGGATGGTCAGACCGAGAGGACTATTCAGTCATTGGAGGATCTGTTGAGAGCATGTGTTCTTGAGCAGGGAGGTTCGTAGGATACTTATCTTCCGTTGATTGAGTTCACTTACAATAACAGTTATCATTCTAGTATTGGGATGGCACCTTTTGAGGCGTTGTATGGTCGGAGGTGTAGGACCCCTTTATGTTGGCATGAATCTGGTGAAAGTGTAGTACTTGGACCTGAACTTGTTTGTGAGACTACTGAGAAGGTGAAGTTGATTCGAGAAAAGATGAGAGCTTCACAAAGTAGACAGAAGAGTTATCATGACAAGAGAAGGAAAGATTTGGAATTCCAAGCTGGTGATCATGTGTTTTTGAGAGTCACACATGTGACTGGTGTTGGGCGAGCGCTGAAGTCTAAGAAGCTCACTCCTTGTTTTATTGGTCTGTATCAGATTTCAAAAAGAGTGGGAAATGTTGCTTATAGAGTGGCTTTACTGCCTAATCTTTTGAATTTACATGATGTGTTTCATGTGTCACAACTCCGGAAGTATATTCCCGATCCGTCTCATGTGATTCAGATGGACGATGTGCAAGTACAGGATAATCTCACGATGGAGACGATGCCTGTGAGAATCGCAGATTGCAAGATGAAGATTCTAAGAGGAAAAGAGATTGCATTGGTGAAGGTTGTCTGGTTAGGTGCTGCTGGTGAGAGCATGACCTGGGAGTTGGAGAGCAAGATGCGAGACTCATATCCCGAGTTATTTGAACCAGGTAAACTTTTATTTTCGAGGATGAAAATATTCTAAGTGGGAGAGAGTTGTAACGCCCCGGTATTTAATTATTTATTTAATTAAATATTTTTTGAATATTTTTTTATTAATTCAAATTTTTATCGTCGAAGTCGGAATTATTTTATTAAGTCGGAATAATAATTAATCGGATTTAATTTGGTGGAATTAAGTTAAAGTGTTATTTTATTATTAAGCTTAAATATGAATTTGGGTTTAATTGGTGGTATTGTGTAGTAATAGAGGGGTATGTCTTTTTAGGCACAATTGAGTTTTTTTAAGATTAAATATAATATACCTATTATATTAGGAATAGAAATAGAAGAATAGGAGAGAGTGTTATTATCAGGAAGAGAAGAAAAAGAGGAAAATAGGGTTTGGGAGAGGAGAAGAAGAACAAGAGGAAAATTGCTTCAAGTGCCAAAATTTCCCAAAAATTCGGTTGAAGTCTCTTAGAGCTTCTCTTAATCCAAGGTAAGGGTGAGGTTCTGAGTCTATAATATGGTGTATAATTAATAGTATGTGAATTTGGGTTATAAAAATTATTTCTAATTGTGTTTGAAATTGGTATATTGATGAAATTGAGAGATGATTTAGGACCCAATTTAATTAGATATACATATATTT